TGTTTACATTGTTTTTTTGTGCCTTGTCTGAAAGGAAAGAGTATCATTTTAAGATCCACTCCTCCTTTCCCCAGATATGGCAACAGTATTCCATATAAGGACATACTTTTATTTAACAAAACACTATTTATTTAACAAAACACTTTAAAACAAAATATTGCTGCGTAAAAGAAGAAAAAAACAGCAAAAGTGCAATGGCAATCCAATACTTTGGTCTTAGACTGTTACCATTACCCCAAGCCCATGATAAACATTCTCACTTTTGGAGATTTTAATTAATTATTAAATCAAAATTATGCAACAAGTTAAAGTAAATCAAGCACTGACTTTAGATAATTCTATAGCAGAGTATGGTTTTTATCTTATGCTAAATCTTGTAATTCCTATAAAAATAATTTTTTTAAATTACTTTTTGCAGTAGACGCCAACCACTTTCAATAAAAAAAAAAATCTTTTTTCAGATTAAAGTTTATTTTTTTAATTCAAGAAAAAGTGACTAACTTATTTAATTTGATTCAACATTTTTTAAATAATTTTTGACTTGCTTAACAAGTATGAATTTCAAAAAGGTTGCTACAACCCTCAGAAAAAAATCTTTATTTCATCTTTTTATTATATAAGCAAGTATAAAATCTTCAATTTTATGATTTCTACGAATAATTATTTTTTATTCAAGCTTCTCTTTAAATTTTCAACAAAGTTATCTGAAACAAAAATGTAATAAAAAAAAAACTATTAAACTTTCAAGGTTATGTTAGCTGAATGGTTTTTATGTTTAGTTACACAAAATAGCAATGACATAATAATAAATATAAAAAACTGTTTTAGTGAAAAATACCAATTCAAGAATATAATAAAAAAACTTTTTAATGGTGTGAGCAAAGAACAAAGTTATTCTTACCATAATGGCGATGAATTCAATTTTATTACCTAAACTAATGGCTAATGATTAATAAAGTAAATTTCAATTCATGAAAATTTACTAAATTAAAACCATATTTCAACAGTAGTCAAATTAAACATAAAAAATGGAGTAGAGCAGAACTTTGTCGTTGAACTAAAACAAATAGACAAAAAAAATTTATTAAATAAAGAAATACTTTTCAATTTGCATAAAACAAATAATTTTTAAATGAAAATATAAAAAAATCAATACTAGTTTTTGTAGAACATATGAAATAGCAAACATAGAACTTAAAAACATATATACCAGGCTTGGTCGGGAAATGGGAGCGATCGCCCTCGATTGCTGACCACGTAAATAATATTTAGTTGCGAAAAGCTGGCCAGATTTTTTAGTCGTTTTGAGAACATTTTAAAAAGCAAAAAAAAAAAAGCGACCAAAATAAATTGGAGCGATGAGAGACAATTACAAAAAAAAAATGTAGGCAAATAAAATATATTTAAACGCGAAAAAACCTTAAGCTAAATAAATTACACTTAGAACAAATATTTTCTAAACATCGGTTTTTTATAACTTTTTTTATAAAATTAAGCAATGTTTTTTATATAAAGTAACAACTTACAATTGTTTAAAAGAGAAACAAATATTCTTTATTTAACTAAATTTGAAAGTTTTAGTTTTACTTAAGCTTAATTTATTTTATAAATAAAAAAGTTAATTTTTTTAATACCTATTATGTTTCGCGTAGTTTGAAAACTTTAACATATTTGAAGCGATTCTTCTTAGTAAGATAAACAAATGAAATAATTAAATCATTGAATTATTATAAGAATTAAATTATCAAGATAGAAATCAACTAAAAAGGTTAAAAACACTTAATGACCAGAAAGCGAAACTGCTTCACAATATTGCTGATGATGTTTAGTAAGTGGGCTTTTTAATTTTAATTAGTATTTAAAGCAGAAAAAAGTATAACGAGTTTTAAGAATGGCAACTTAAGCGATAATAATTATAGTTAGTAAACCAATATCTAGAAACTTTTCTTTATATCTAAATATTTGCTATTAAATATTTGTGTTCTGTCATGACCTCAGGCGCAATGCTTGTTTATCCGCGAGTTACTTTGTATGCGTTGTTTGTGTTTAGTAACCAGAAACTTCTTATATGTTTGTTACATAATTAGTTTTTTTAACTTTAACGATTATAACTTCATTAAAAACGCAATTATTTTTGTAAGTCTTTGTTTAAATAATAAAAATTGCTTTAAAAGATACATTACGATAAAAAACAAATACACAAAATTACATTTACATAAAGAATACAATCTCTTTTAAAATAAAAAATAAGAATATACTAATAAAATCTATGATTTATAATAAACTTTTAAAATTTTAACAATTTAATTAATATATATTTAAAACATTTATTTTTGTAAACAAATAATATATATTCTTAAAACAATTCTACAAATCTCAAAATGTAACAAATCGTGAACACTACAATTTCTAAAACATTTTAACAGAATACTCTAGAACTTTATTTCGCTTAATCAGCGTATTTTTTGAACCAATAGTATTAGTTTGTTTGTTAATTTGGCGGGTTTTTAGTGTTCGCAAATATTCTTTTTATTCTTTCGCACAAAGATGTTTTGAGAATATTCAAGTTTGTCATGTTTCCATGTATGTCCGTAAAACGAAAATTCTTTGTTTTGTACATAAACTTAAATGTTCTCAAAACGACTAAAAAACCTGGCCAGTTTTACGCAACTAAATATAATTTCCGTGGTCAGTATTCGAGAGCGATCGCTCCCGCTTCCCGACCAAGCCTGATATACATAGCAGAAAATTAATATGTGTTGGTTTGGAAAAAAATCAAATACCAATATAACATCACAATATCTTTAAATGAGGCTAAAATAGTATTGATATGTTGGACTAATAACTTTACTAATTAAAGTAAGCATAACACTTTTATTCTATGTTCCTATAGGAAAACAAAAGTCCTACATAGTAAATATCAAAAGCTTTAAAAATTTCCAATTACAGTAAAATATAAAAATAAATTATATCATTCAATACCAGATTCAAACATTTTGTATTGCATGATTTACTTAGGGGGATGTGATAATTCAGACATTATACTTGTAAATCATTTTTACATAATTTTATAACTTATTGATATATAGTTGCATAATTCCGATTACTATCACTTCATGCCATTATCACACCGTCTTACTTTAAACGATTTACTAAGGGGAGGTAATAATTTTGAAACTTAAAGATCTATTTTTTTAAAGTATTTTTAATTAAATATATAACTAAAAATTTATAGTTGTTCACTATTTATTGCATCCATTACCACACCATCTTTTATTAAATGATTAGCTAGGAAAAAGGAAATAATTCAGAGGCAAGTTTAGTAATTTACTCAGGGGAAGGGTAAAATTCAGACAGATATTTGTAAATCAATTTTACTAATTATTAAATATTTTATAGTTGTAGAATTTTAATCATTATACTGTAATAAAGATCAGACCGTCTTACATTGAGCGATTTATAAAGGAGAGGTATTAATTCAGAGAGATATAATTTATATCTGTCTGAATTTTACTTTTACATATACTGTTATATAATAAAAGTATTTGTAAAATAGTTTCATGCAAATAAATAACTAATTAGTATATAGTTGTTTATTTTCTATCATTACGACACTTCCTTATGTCGTCTTTCTTATATTACTTTTATGTAAACTTTATTTCTAAAATTCTTGTCATCTAAACGTTTTTTTCTCTTTGTTTATTTACAAAGGTAGTACGGACGTTTTAGGTACACTTCTAATAGTTATAACCCGAAAGCGCAATCTCGTTTTGAGTTTTTCATAGGGGGATGGAATAATTCAGGCGGTGGGAATAATCTACTACAGCCCTTATGTTACAAAACGCGTGCCCTTGGCGTTACTTTTGAGCCCTTATGTTACTCAAAGTGCCCTTATGTTACGCTGAAGCCCTTATGTTACTTTTTAGCCCTTATGTTACCGCAAATCGGTAGCGTAAGGGCAAAAATAGCCCTGGTACTACATTAAAAGGTAGCATAAGGGCACTTACCTCAAACCTCAAACAAATGTGTAAACGAGCAAATTTAAATATGGTAGAGTTTCGCTTGTAGTGCGGTGATCGATATTGCTTTATCGTGTATGTTTTTATAGAAATAATTGTAATTATGTTTAATTGTTTAAAAGTTTTTTGTATAAGTTTTTAATCATTCGAAAGAAGGATCTACTGTTAATATTGTCAGTATTGAAGCAAAAAGGTTTTTTTAAATTTATTTTTTACAGACTTGTTCTTCAGTTGAACCATGTTTAAAAAAAGTTTTAGAGTTGATGAATAAAGTAAAATGAAGAAACAGAAGCTAAATCAGCACACATTAATATTGGTCTAATGAATAACAAAAAGTCTTATCACCATCAAAATGACAATCCAAAGTTGAAAAAAGTTGGATTGCTTCACAACCAGAAGCAGTATGTAACATGACTTTAAATGAGTTTGCAATAGCTTTAGAAAATAATGATAGTTTTGTTGTGAGTGCGATAAAGCACATTAAATTCTTAAAGAAATGTGTAATATTATTATATATTACTAATATGTTGTACTAGTAATATGAAATATATTGCTAATATTTTATTTCACATTTTACTTGTAATATGAAATATATTTTTAACAATATAAATTAAGATATAAAATAAGAGTCATGATTTTTTCATTTAATTGTTTTCACTTTCGTTTCAGCATGAAGTTACACAATTTAAATTTTAGATGTTAAGTCATCTTTTTCATCAATTTAATCTTTAGTTTAATGTTAGTGATCATATTTTTAAAATTTATTACATATAATGTTATTAAATCAGTTATTTAATAATAATAACTGTTATTATAGTTTTTTACATTATTATAAGTGTCTTACTATCCATTGAGAGTTAATGTGATCTATTTTAAGCATTAATTTGCTACTTATTCTTATTGGATATTATAAAGATAGCAAATTTGTTTGTATATCATAAACATGCGAGTTTTGCATAAATTTTATGCATTGTAAAGTAAATATGATTCTTTCTAATAAGTATTAATTTTCTAAGAGTTTTAAATATTAAAACAATGGAAGAAAATGTTTTGATACTGTGTGTGCTATGTAAAAGACCAATAGATAATTGTTGTAAAAGTCAACTGTGGGAAAACGATGCTTACAAAATTTGCAAGGCTTGCGCAGGTTTTTTTTCATTGTTTTAATTTATTCAAGTTTTTTATGTTTATTTATTACTAAAAAAAGTTACTAAAATACTTAAAAACTTATTCATTATGTATAGATTCATCGTGTGGTATTTCCTACAATGAGGGCGTTATATTAATTGAAAAAGGTTTGTTTTTACTCAACTGACACATTGCTTGTGAGTTGTGAGGTCTTAATTTATTTTATAACTTATATTAAAATTTTTAATATAACATGCTATATAACATAATATACATTTTTAACATAATATACTAAATTATAACCTGTATGCAGCTCTTTAAAATAAATAAAATAAGCTCAATAAATTCCTGATTTTTATTTATTTCATTAAGCTTTCCAAAATTTTACACAAAAATCAATAGAAGAAGTTATATCTTTATCATTGTTGATGTCTATTTATTCTGGTCAAGTATGTGTACTTTATAAATATTATTGTGTAAATAAATTTGCAAATTTAGATTTTACTAATCAAGTATTTTTGTGTTGTGTTTTGGAGAGTGTGGTAATAAATTTATTATTTATTATTTTTGTTTTGCAGCTCTATAGTTACAGACACAATATATATAAAGCTAGTGGAAAAGAAAAAAGTAAACATTGATTAAAATTTATATATATTATTTAAAATTTATTACAATAACACTTTATATTAAGATAAAAATTAATAGATTATAAAAGAGTCATAAGACTATTTTTGATTTGTATTTTATAGGAAACCTTAAAGACGAAGACCTAATGTATCTTTTACCGGAAGATAAAAAAAATTATTTTTTTTGTGCTCTTTCAAAATCATTTAATAATCATACGGTATGAAATATTAAGTTATTATTAAGTAAATAAATATATAAATAATTTAAATATACTAGAGACTATTCTAGGAAAAAAATTTATGCAGTGTAACACTCTGTCCTGGCAAAATTTAGTGAAAATATTGCTGAATGTAGGTGTTTTTTTTTTTGGCAAAAAAGCCAATTTGCCATAAAAAAGTTCTCAATTTTGAATTTCTGCGCCACCCAAATAAGGTCAGTGCTGTCAAAAACGATCTAGAATAGATCGTTTTTGACAGCACCTATGTTTTCATATATGTACTGGTAGGATCAAGAGATGGCAAAAACAATTCTCTCCTGAAATTTTTTTTTAACTTAAATTTTTTTTTCAAATTATATTTTTGAATTTAGTCTCTTTAGTTTTTGTTTTTATACCCCCTCCCCTTATCAACATTTTTAATCTTGAAATTTTTCTAACAAATGACTATATATATATATATATATATATATATATATATATATATATATATATATATATATATATATATATATATATATATATATATATACATATATATATATATATATATATATATATATATATATATACATATATATATATTTGACACGTTCATACACATATATATTTGACACATTCATACACATAGATTAAAAAAATCAGTGTTATATAATTATATATAAAAAAGGTTACATTTTTTATTTAGTCTAATGATTATACTTTTAAAGTATTGCTTCCTGAAGCAATACTGTATCTTTTTGCAAAGGTGCAAAGAATTTCAAGAATCAAAGTATGTTTTTAAATAAATTGTAAAATATTTATTTTATATATTCTCATTTGCAATTTTTTGTTAACAGTTGTTTGTTAATGTGTTCGTATATGATTTTTAATAATAATATTTTGGTTTGCAGTTTAATATAAATTATTGCTCGTTTTAATATAAACTTGCTAATTTTTAATAATTATTGCTCGTTTTAATATAAACTTTGCTAACATTGTTACAAATTCCTGCCCAACCACTAATTAGTTGATTTACGTAAGCAAAACCTGCCCAACCCCTACTTAGTTGATTTAAGTAAGCAAACTAAATCAATAACATGTAAACATATAAAATTTATTATACATTTATGAATCAATTTTGTTATAGGCTGAAGTATTGTTAAGTTCATATTCTTTGCAAAGGTATGCATTTTTTTTTTTTAAGATTTAGATGCCCAAAGAAGTCCTTACGGTCTTATCACAGAGCACTGCGGAAAAGCATTTAATAGGAAGTTCACGCCTCCTTCCCAACCAATGTTGCAAAACTTGCCCAGAGGTGGGGTTTGAACCGCGGATCTTAAGTCTCTGAGACAAGTGCGCTACCACTGCGCCACGGCTGTTGTAATTTTTCATTTTATTTGTATAAACATTTAAGTTTATATTTATTTTAACATTTTAGCATTTTTGACCTTAGAGTTTTATTTTACAATTTTGTATTTTTATTTTATTTTTGCTAGTATTGCATAAATTAAGTGAATTTAAACAGGCAGAATTTGTACTGCAATGCTGTTCAACCTTCTAAGTGCATAAATTGGTTTAGGGCTAAAGATAGTTGATATTTAGAATAAAAATAAATTTTTTAGTTTTTTATGTGTATTTTGATTACTTTATTTATTTATTTATTTTAATTTATTTTGCTATAAATATTGTTGTCCTTATTTCAGGAATAATGAACTGTTAAATAAAATCTCAGATGAAGATAATGATTTTATTTTGGGTAATAAATTATATTGTTTGTCAAGTTATGAAGATATTTTTACAAAACCTTATAAAGCTTTCTCAAAGTTAATTAAAGGTTTTGGTAATCAGTTAAAGAAGACTTGATAATATTTGTAATAACAAATTATTATTGTAAACTATTATTATCCTTTTTTAATAATAGTATAAATATTATTATTTTACTTTAGAAACAAATATTACATTGGAAAAAGAAAAGGTATGCATTCATTTTATTCTCAATTATGTAATTACACTTAAAAAAGGTAGTATATAAATATATCATTGAATACCATTCCATGTTTTTAATAATTAATCAATGGCTAATGATTGCCATTTAGGCATTAAACTTAAAGTACAGTAGAAAAAGTTGTTTTTTCTTCATATCATATATATATATATATATATATATATATATATATATATATATATATATATATATATATATATATATATATATATATATATAGTTTACATTTTTTGGATAATTTTTGCAAAATATTTTCTGTATAGGTTTCTAATGATTTGGTTGAGAGTTCACTCAATAGTGTTAATGTTGAAACAGAAAGGTATTTTTGATTTTTATGCAAATATAGGAACAATACATAAATAATGCATCTGCCCTTATTCTCTTTCTTAATCATTTTAATTATCTCCCTTATTATGTAGTATAACAAATCAACCAGCAATTGGAATTGACAAGGGTACTGTTATTGATACAACCAAGGTTAGCCTTAATTTCCCTTTTTTAATATTGTGTTTAAAATAAAATTGATTTAAAGAAATAAAAAAAATTTACAGACTTGTTCTTCAGTTGTGCCTTTGTTTAAAAAAGTTGTAAAGTCGAGGAATAAAGTAAAGTGCCCTGTTTGTGGAAAGTAAGTTTCAAAATTAAAGTTTTTAATGTAAATTTTTTTATTTATATAATTTTTAACAGATTCATTAGGTTTTTTTTTTTTTTTTAAAAGATTTATATTCAACTTAAAACGACACTTAATAACCAAACACAAATAGGATGAAGTTAAGGCAAAATCTGCTCGCCTTAATTTTGGGCTTAACGCAAAAAGGAAAGTTTTAACCACTACCAAAAGAAAAGCAAAGAGCAAAATTTATAAAAGAAAAATTTGTCCTATGCTCCATTGCACAAAAGAGTTACTTAGACTCGGAAATCATCTGAGACAGTTCCACAAATTGTCTAATTTTGAGACAAAAAAATATTTATCTAAAAGTGTAAGTGTTCTTGAAAATTTTGAAAGCGAATCTGATGAGAAATCAAACTCCTCAAGTGACTTTAGCGATAACCCAAGTCTTGAGTGTCATTTTGATAAAGAAATTTTTGTTCAAGGTGAAAATTTCTTTATCAAAATGACACTCAAGATGATGCTTGAATTTACTTCTAAAAAGTAAATTCAAGCATCACTGCTTGAATTTACTTTTTAGAAGTAAATTCAAGCAGTGATGAAGACTGGTTAGCTTCAGAATATGTTCAATCTAGATTTTTGAAAAAAGGTCTGTAAATGTTATGTTTTTTTCAAGTTATGCTTTTTTAATATGTTATTTTAAAATTTTTTTAAGAAGATTAATTTAAACTGTCAATTACTCTTTATTAAAAAGTTATATATTTATAATAGATGGTTCTGAAAATTCCTCCTCTTCTAAATCACATTCATTATCTGAGTTCTCCGACAATGAAGATGAAGATGACACATTTTATATGACATCATCAATAGAAGAAAGTTTAATGCAAAACTTCGTAGAATGGCTTGTTAGTTCTTCTGGTTGTCGTAAACCAAAAAGGTCTGCAGTAAAACATAAAGGAATTATAATGGGTATAGTTAGACATAAAGATAATAAGGATATAAATTATGTTAACCTCTCCAAAGAGTCTTTTTTAAACTCATGGATGACAGAGCTAGATAAAAAAGGAAAAAAGCCAGGAACAATAAAAACATATTTAGGGTCAATAAAACATTTTTTAGATTTTTGTCTAACAACAGATAGAACTGATATCATAGGACACAAGGAACATTCAAAAATTGTTACATTAATTTTGCAATGGGGTAAATCTTTGCAAAAATCAATAAAGGAGAATCAGTATGACAAGGATATTATTGATTTTAATAACTTTCCTACAGCAGAAGAAATAGTAATATTAGATAATTCTGATATTGTTAAAGATGCAACAAATGTTCTAAAATCAAGTAATACAAGTTTTTTTAAAGTAAACAAAACATCTTTTTGTCTTGTCAGAGATTACTTAATCACTTGCATTGTTTTCGATAATGCTTCGAGACCAGGTGCAATATGCAATATGACGTTAAATGAATTTTCAGTTGCTTTTGAGAACACGGATGGTTTTGTTGTTAGCGTTAAAAAACATAAAACTTCTTATAAAGGGCCAGCACATATTGCATTGTCAAAGACCTTATATCTGCATGTACAAAAGTATATAACTTTTTTAAGAAATACCTTAGATGGGGTATTTACATCACAAGACTCTTATGTGTTTGTAAGTTGGCATGGGGGTGCTATTTCTTCCTCAATGCTGACTACACAGTTTTCTAATTTTTGGAAAAAAGCCACAGGAAAAATTACAAAAATGACCCCAACTATTGTTAGAAAATTTATTACAACTACTGTTCACGAAAACCATAGTGAGTTAAAACAAAACACAGCTAATTTACTATGCCACAGTTTGAAAACGGCTGAACAAGCTTATGCCCTTTTTGATAACAGAAAAAAAGCTGGCGAAACAAGTAAAAACCTTCATGATGTACAAAGAATGTTGGAACAAGAATCTTCTTTTAATAGCATATTTATGAATGAAATATCCAGAGGCAATATTACTCTAGAAGATGTCAAAGTTAAGTTTAAAGAACACCCAACACTGGGAGATGCATCTTGTTCGAAAAGTATTAAAAAAGTTTTGGATAGCGTTCGCTACATTAATAATGTAGCGAACGCTATCCAAAACTTTTTTAATAGTTTAAAGAGTTTAAGCTTAAATCGCTTGGATTTTCGTCAGAATCGTCGTTTACATTATATTTTTTATCATTATCATAAAGTTTGTTTTTCTTTATAATGTCATTATAAAGAAAAACAAACTTTATGATAATGATAAAGAATATAATGTAAACGACGAATCTGACGAAAATCCAAGCGATTTAAGCTTAAACTCTTCTGCGATAAACAAACTAAGAGAACGTAAAGAGTTTAGTCCAACTGACTTAAATTTAGTATTTTTGCACTTGGCAAAATTTATAAAATCAAATGAACCGTTGATAAAAAAAGAAGTTTTACATTATCTGCAAACTGTTCCAGAATGTAAAGTATTATTAGAGAAATTTGGAATTAGTTCGTTAATTGTCAAAATCCGAACTGAGAGAAAGAAAGTAATAGCAGAATCTCAATAAACTAAATAAATCATTGTCAATTTCATAGTAGATCATTTTTTCTGTTAATTATTTTTGTATTATATCTAAATATAAACATATAATTAGAAACATGTATGTATGTATTATATTTAATTACATATAATTATATATATATATATATATATATATATATATATATATATATATATATATATATATATATATATATATATATATATATATATATATATATATATATATATATATATATGTATATATATATATATATATATATATATATATATATATATATATATATATATATATATATATATATTTATTTATTTATATTTATATATATACACTTATTTATATATATATATATATATATATATATATATATATATATATATATATGTATATATATATATATATGTATATATATATATATATATATATATATATATATATATATATATATATATATATATATATATATATATATATATATATATATATATATATATATATATGAGGAGCCCATCTGCAGAACACGCTAAGTCACAAAAATAAAAGTTTTGAGTTAATTTCATTTTTAAATTCTACATACTGAAATCTATCATCTATTTAAATATCAGACCAAAAAAAATATTTTAGGTTTTGAAAATGGACAAATAAAATATTTATTTATGTTGATGTGCAACTAAAATTAATTTCGTTTTTACGTGTTTTCTCAAAATGTGTTTACACGGACTTCTCATATATATATATATATATATATATATATATATATATATATATATATATATATATATATATATATATATATATAAATTACGTATATGTAGTATATGTAGTGGTTGTTGTGTTTGTTTTCTACAAATAGAGTGTTTGATGTTCTTAAACAACAGAGCAATAATAATTTAATAATAGTTTATATGTATATATATATATATATATATATATATATATATATATATATATATATATATATATATATATATATATATATAATACATATACATATATATATATATATATATATATATATATATATATATATATATATATATATATATATATATATATATATATATATATATATATATATATATATATATATATATATATAATATACATATATATATACATATACATATATATATATATATATATATATATATATATATATATATATATATATATATATATATATATGTATATAATATATATATATATATATATATATATATATATATATATATATATATATATATATATATATATATATATATACATATACATATATATATATATATACATATACATATATATGTATATATATATAAAGATACATATACATTTATATACATATATATTTATATATATACAGGGTGTCAGCCAGATCAGGAAAAAATCAGTGAATTCAAAAATCAGAAAGAAATCAAGGAAACTAGCTTTTCATCAAACTTACATTCTTTAAATCAGTGGCGGATCCAGGTCATTGTCCTAGGGGGGGGGGGGGGGGTAATTTGAAAAAATCCACTTTTTTTGTTCAAATAAACCACTTTTTTATTTGACAATTTAGAATGTTTTATCGAGTAGCATAGAAGTTTGACATTTCTTAGGGGGGGGGGGGGAAGTAACCTCTTTATCCGCCACTGACTTTAATAAGTTGTATATGGTATACGTAAAATAAAAGTTTATTTGGCAGATTTTGCATATGAATAGCATTTTCCTAAACGAATCTAGATCTATTTTTGTGAAGTTTAGTTTGGGTAGCTTTAAATTAAATCAGGAAAAACAGTTAGAGGATTAGGGAAAGGGCAGGGAAGTTTAACTTAAAATGTTGGCATACACCCTATATATATATATATATATATATATATATATATATATATATATAATATATATATATATATATATATATATAATGAATATATAAATACATGTAATGAAATATCTATATATTTATTAACATACACATCCATATTTTTAAATTAAATAAAAATGTTATGTTAAGTTTTTCTAAATCTATTTTAGATACTAATTTTACAATAAATTTGCATCGATATCTTATAGTATATTGAAGTTTCCAATTGTAAAGGACATAACGAATAGATTGAATTTTATTAATTTACTTTAACTATTTTTGATTTATGTATATTATCAGATTTTTCGATTTGTCTTCTTTATTTATAAAATAAAAAAATGTTATTTTCAATTTAAAAATTTGTTTGTAAATTTTACGTTTTACAACGTAAATTTATGTTTCTGGACATTAATTAATATATACATTGTTTTTAAACTATGCGTTTATTATTTATATAAGTAATCAACATTCCATAGTTGGGGTTTGAATTTCGAGTGTAAACAGATTCTGTTGCTTTTAATTGAAGGAATTTTGTAAGTTTTTTACAGCAACCATATAATGCCTTAAAAAAAATTATAGTAAGGAAACAAATTCTTAAAAAAAATCTTACACTCAGATTTATGATGCATGCTCAGGCGAATTCATAGAAATGTTTTTTGTAAGGCAAATAAGTGTTGAGTTTCTTTTTAAAATATCTTTGATCAAAAGTAAACACATAGGTGCAGAAATATATCTGCTAACGTATAGAAATAATAAAAAAAAAATTTAAGAAGAAAACAAACAAAAATATATATTGTCAAAATAATTTAAAATTTATATTTTGTAATTATGATAAATTTTTCTATTATTCAGTCGAAAAATAGCTTGAAAAGTGCACCTCTTTTTTAATGTCAAACGCGAACATCTAAACTGCATAATGCGCAAAAAAAGTCAAAAAATAGTTAAGGAGTCATATCTGCCATAAGAGATTCTCAAAGACCATATGGTATTATTAAAGTTGCAAACTAGTATAAAAGATGTAAGACATGTGTATAGGACTTTAAGCAATTTAAAATACTTATGACGAAGTTGTAACTTCGTTTACAACTTATATTTCTGACGTAGTCAGAAAAGAGCACAAAATGATACTAATGGGTTTGACCATTTAAGTCAGAAGCAAATAGGTTGAAGAACCCCAAAAATCCCGTAAAATTTTTATAAGTCCCCATTTTAAAATTTTTTTAAGCTTTAAAAATTTTTTTTCAATTAGCTTACGGGTTTAATAACTTTTCACCTGTTACTGATCTTCTCGTTTTTCTGCACCCTTACAAAGTAACCCGCACACCAAGACTAAAAAATATACAATTGTCAGTCATTATCTTTCTTTTTTTTTATGTAGAATTTATTTTCTGAAAATAATTGCGAATACCTTTTTTTACATATGAAGGGTGACTAGGGACGGTCGATCCCTATCTATTCTTTAATCTCTAATTTTAATAATGTAGGGAAATAAATAAATCATTATATACCAGTCGAGATAGATCTAACATAAAAGTACTTTTATGTAACAGTTCACGTGCTTACTATTTCAAAGTTTTATGAAATAAAACCTCGTTGTGATATCCCAGGGATCCTTGTAGTTGTCTCGGGTTTTCTAAGCAGAGAGACTATTTTTGCAAGAGTCTACTCGTTCTTTTTGCATAAAAATATTAGTTTTTTTATTTGTTTTGTGAAAAAAATAGTCAATGATTAAATACGATTGCTTATGAACACTCATACTTGACAATAAAAAGCGTCCACGTTTTATATTCAAAGTTTCCTTAAAAAGTTGAATCGTTCAAAAATTTGAAAATGTGTAGCCCGCATGTTACCAAAAATTTAAGACAAAAAATGATTTTAAGCACATTAATTATTTTTATTTTTTGTCAAGTTTTATATTTTTGTAAACTAAAAAATGAAACAAAAAAAGTTGTATTCATAGAATGGCTTACTACCGCCAACTTTTATAACTTCATTGTAGGTCGTAATTTAACATACAAAATTTTTATAATGCAAAAAAAAGTTAACCATAACTTTTAATAGATTACCGTGGATTTATCGGATTGTCAAAAAAATGATTTTTCAGTAGTAGTAAAAGTTACAATTATCAAAAAATGATGGAATATCATTATATATTGGGGGAATTTGTTCCTTTTTCAGAAAATATTAAACTTTTTTTCCTAAAACACGAAAATCCCAAAATAACCCAAAAAGCCCTCATGTTACCTTTTGCTACTTGCGCATGCACATTTATCTTACTACAGCTCACATATTACAATTTAATTTTTTTGTTAAATACACATTTACTTAATATAATTTCATTTAAATAAGTTTCAAAACATATCGGCTTTAACTTTTGTCTCACTAAAAACAACATTTTAAATTTTCACGGCTTACTAGCCGTTCATAGAGATTATAGTAGTAGTAGTAGTAGTAGTAGTAGTAGTAGTAGTAGTAGTAGTAGTAGTAGTAGTAGTAGTAGTAGTAGTAGTAGTAGTAGTAGTAGTAGTAGTAGTAGTAGTAGTAGTAGTAGTAGTAGTAGTAGTAGTAGTAGTAGTAGTAGTAGTAGTAGTAGTAGTAGTAGTAGTAGTAGTAGTAGTAGTAGTAGTAGTAGTAGTAGTAGTAGTAGTCAAAAGGAAGAAAAACTTTTGTTCAAACAATACTTAAACAAAATAAAAAACACAAAATGGTGATATAAAAAAAATTGGGATATCATAAAAAAAAAAATTGGGATTAAAAACCGCAAAATAAATAGTTTACATGCTATAGGTGTCATAGATAATAAAGAGTACGACAATATCAACCTAATTCTAGAAAAGTTTACCAGTTTTTTTTGTCAACTGAAAACTAATGAACTCAATGAAAAAACTACATATCATAATTCTTAAAACCAATTTTATTGATATGTATTAAATATAAACGAACAATGTAATAAAATGTAATAAAAGCAATTTAATTATAAAAAGAAAGAAAGAAAAATTAAAGAAAAAAAAAAACATAACAAAAAAGAAATAATTATTGTTAGCAACTATACAGAGTAAAATATTATTGAATAATAGATCTCAAAAGGTTAATGTGTGTTTTATAAACTTACTTTTTAAATTTTCAATTTAATTTGTATTTTAAAGGTTCTCAATGAAAAGAATTAACTTAGTCTTCCTTCAGTTTCCGTACAACTAAATAGCATTATTATAATATATTAAACTAAATAGCATTATTATGATAAGTTAAACTAAATAACATCATTATACTATATTAAAATATATTTTAATTTAAATAGCATTACTATAATATACTAGTTTATATTTTAAATAGCAACCCCAAACAAGTCCCTAGTAGCCCTGTGGTGCGACGGACAAATGTATGTTTTTTAAATGTATAGGTTGATAGATAGCACTTTTTATTGTAAAGCACGAATTTTTAAATTAGTTACTTTAACTCACTATTAAACGCGCATGCGTATATATATATATATATATATATATATATATATATATATATATATATATATATATATATATATATATATATTATAATTAATTCTATATAACATATGTATCTATAAAATATAGTATGATGGTTACATGATATTTTTTTCTTTTTTACATTTTTAATGTCTTTATACAACTAATGATTAAAAAACATGCAGTAAGAATGTTTTTCAAAATAAATCTTTTAAAATTAAGGAATCCTTTATACTAAAACACACTTCAACTTGTTTGAAATTTTTCAAATATTTTATATCACCTTACCAGAGCAGCAACAAATCATATCTTGCTAATATTAAGAAGTCATGGTCATAAAGATTTGCCTACAGATTCAAGAACCTTATTAAGTACACCAAAAAAAATTACTTTGCAACAAAAATGTGGTGGTGATTATTTTTACATAGGTTTAAAAAATTCAATGAAAAGCAAGTTGGACAAGTTTTCTTCTTATGAAATTAATTTCTTAAAGACAATTAATCTTTTGATTAACATCGATGGGATACCATTGTTTAAATCATCAAACACACGACTTTGGCCTAT